ATCAGATAAACGAAAGTTGATGTTTGCTTTTCGAACGTACGATTTTAGCTGCGCCCATGCTAACTCTATTGGATTGAGAACGCAGTGCTTTATCGGTAGCCGCAGGACTTCGACGTCAAATGCACGGGCAATCGCATTAGTGACATACCGTTTCGGTGGAACGTTTTCAAACGCTAGCTGCAGCAATTCAGCCTTTGATGATCTAGGAACCCACTGGATCCTATGATTATCGAGCCATTGCTGCAGTTGATCCTTTCGCCAAGCACGCTTGGATGGCTTGGTGTGGTCGCAAAGCACATTATGCCAGGTGGCATTATCAATGATGATGGCGATGGTTGAGCCAGCACCATGGTTGATACGAAGACGACCAGCAGCGTCTCCGATCCATTTATGAAAATGTTCGCTGTTCATTGCATGATTGCGGTCACACGTCCATACATCGAACGGCTCCACAAATCCTTGCACGCCAATCATGGCCGAAATCGCAATACGTTTACCCTTCCCATCGTGTTTTGGTAGCCGACTTTCACCCTTTTCATCAATCCAAATGCTCCTCTTCTCCTCTCCTGCATTTAACCATGTTTCGTCATGAAAATAGATGAAAGCATCTGACTCTCGAAGTTCCGTCAGACACGGAAAGTAGAACGCACGTCGAGCAACAAACGGGACATCGTCAAGAAGAACGGGAATTTTTGGCGTTGATTTGTAGAACTCAAGTCGGCGCATGTGACGCCATAAAGTTGTCACCGAGCGAATTGGAAAATCTTCATGTGTATGCAGCAGCCTATCCAAAAGACTGCTGCATGTTGGATAGACCTTTTCTGCAAGCATAGCATGGAAATTGTATCTGATTGCGCTCTCAGCTTGCTCACTAAGAACAATAGACGATCGGCCTGAATGTTCTCTCTTAAGTGATGATTTGGCCCTGGGTATAGACGGTTCCCATTTTCTTTTCGATTTTCGATATGACGATAGTTGATCCCATGAGGAAGGCACATCAGAAACAACTGCAGCATCCATTGATTGACTTCTGAGGCGAATCGTGCTGAGAAGTTGCTTCTTTTCTTCTTCCTGTTTCTTTTGCTTTTCTTCGTTTTCTTTCTTTTGTTCTTCCTCCTTCTTCTGCTCGAGTTGTATTTGTTCATTTAGACGCTTCATCTCGGTCTTTAGGTTGAAAATAGAACGTTCTGAAATCCCAAGCATCGCTTGAATCCTTTGGGTGGTGTTGTAGAGTGGGATTTGAGTGCCAGTTTTCTCCTATTCGACGAATGATATCACACGGAAGAAAATTCCTTTGAGCTCGGCAGAGTATTCGCGACCAAGAGCCATAACAAAAACAGCAGAGAAGATGTAAACTGTGTGCTTGTATGTGTGAGCCGATTTATTCATATACACTTGGTACAGTGTTAAGAGCAATGAATATAATAGAAAGAAGAAAAGAAAGCGCAGAACTACCGAGAACACTAGCAAAATAATGAATGTAAAAAAAGACAAGCACGTACATATGTACATATACATACATATGTAAGTATGTTGAAGAATACCGAATATGATATGAGGGAGTATATGCTAAAAATCCGATATAATTAAAATATGTAATGATACGTGAGGAAAGAATCCGATACGTCATGTCAGATAAATGCGATATGTAACGTATGGATACTTCCAATACTTGCGAATGTCGTAGGACTCCATAACTGAGCAGAAGGAAAAAATTTATGGTACTTGTAGCTCTTTTTTCGACTGCACATTATTGTGAATAGAAATCTTCAGTAAATTGAGGCTAGCGTCTGAACGGGTATTCATAATCGAGGAAAATTGTTGTTTGACTTTAATTTCATTGAAACATAAAACTATTGTCAAAGCTAACTAACTTTTGCTGGTGCTATTTTTAGTCAAATGAGTATCTCACGACCATCACTCTCTACAAAATCATTTGTAGAGAAATACAGTACATACAGTTTTATCATAGTTTCGAAACGATTCACAAAGTAACAGCAGCTTAATGACAGTATTTTCTTTAATGGATAAACAGTACAAAATATGCATGCATCAAATAAATATGTAGAATAAATATGTAGAAATACTTTCATTCTCACTGGATAAAATCAATCTAAAAAAAATGGTTTACGAAAAACGATCTTTTTAAACATTTTTCGGAGAACGCGCTTAACATTTTGGAAATTTTCGTCCGCTAGTGATTTTGTAGCTCTGCACATATAGAATCTAATCTGACGGTACCAGCTCATGAAAGTGTTTCACTAAAAAATGGTGAAAATGTCTACAAAAAGACTATTCTGTTGGAAAATGGGATTTTCACAGATCTATATGACACCTATGCCGTTGTTTTAAAATTTTTTAAACATGATATTCGTCACCAAGAGCCCGAGTTCTACTAGTCCTGTTACAATTCGAACAATTCGGTCGATGTAAACGTGGTACGTTCTGGGAAAAACAACGCTTCTTTTACTTATTTAAAGTGATGTTGTATTACATTTGTTTCAACGCTCTGGTCCGCTCCGCCAAAGTGAATTTCTGACAACAAAGTTTTTATCAATCCCTGTGTGATTTATGTAAAAAGTAATTGTTTAAGTAATTCTGAACAACCATTAATCCCCAATATCATGTGACTCTAAAATATAATTATTAGAGTGTGTTGTGGTTTAACAATTTATTTTTGTTACATGGCGTTCTCTGTAATAATTCAGTTATTAACAATGACTTCCCAGGTAAAGAAAAAACAGTGGTTGCCTGGCGGCTGGACTCGTCCGAAATGTCCGAGCATCCCGACCGGACTAGTCTGGGAAACGACAATCTTTTAGAAATGTCTGAGAGTACGTTATGATGTACTCCCTGACGCCAGTCAAGGTACCAGGGACCGGCATGTGCGGCCGCGCGCTGCAGTGAACGATCGCAGAACGGTCCCACAACACAGCACAATGCAAATATTTTTCTGAGGGACCGCCCATCGCGCAACTTGACGGTAACAGCGCACCATTCAGCGCACCCCAAACCTTGAAAGTACAAATTAAGGACGAAAAGGTTCAAAAAGTTAAAGTGACGCCCATCAGGTCGCGTAACCTGTGTATAGTCAAGACTATGGTGACGATCGCGGCGTTACAATACAGTCATGCTGCCCGTCTTGACGGTATATGTGTCTCTAATTACGTCGTAACAGCAGACGCGTCGTCCGTTAGTATAGCTGGACGTCGCTTCAAGGTTTACGTCCAGACTAGTCTGTTTTTTGAAAAAGCTTTCACAAAAACGTCCGAAATTCCGTCTGGATCGTGTTAAAGACGTGCATTTTGAACGTAATGCTTGTGTACCAATCATGCCATTGTCAACGGATGCAACGTCCTAACTGTATATCAGACATCCTTCTTTTGTACCCAAAGGATTGTATCGTCCATGAGTACGAGAAGACCCTATGTCTAGGCATGCAACGGTTATGGTTAACCGCTCGAACGATTATTTACGGTTACAGTTAACGGTTAATAACCGTAACCATTGCATGCCTAGCTACGTCTGATACAGGATGTGGACTAGTCACTTAATTTACAAAATCTGTAAGAGAAGAAAGTGTAAGTTTCTTATGAAAAACATAATCGACTCTCTTACGAAAAAATCTTACAGTACTGAAAAAAGGCCGGCACTATCAGTGCGCACGGCATGCTATGTTGTACCGGTACAGTTCCACATTTTCCAGTTACCGATTTTTCTCGCTACTCTCTTTTTTTCACAACTTCTTCGCTTAGTACATTAAATAATAAATGATCAACAATATTTATTGATTAGTCACGTTTTTCAACATTGTTTTGCTTATCTTATCAACAATTAGTATCTATTTAAACCAGACATATGTTTTATTGGGCTTCCATTGAACTAAGCATAAGATAAATATTTTACATAAAAAATGGAAATTTTGCAAGTTATGCGACCATAGACAGTAGATATTTAATGTCTGCAATATGCGTCACATATGGTTTTATTCAATGGTCTTTTTCTCTATCGACAGAGATATTAAATAAAAGTTTCGAGTTAAATATAGTCAAAATACTGAAAGGTAGCACAAGCTATTTTTTTTTGAGTAAATTTTATGCTTTTTTGGTCAATTAATAGAAAGTTCAGCATTTTAGGCAAGTTTGTTGCAAGTATAAATTAAATTTTACATTATGTTTTTTTATTGTCTTGTAGAATATGTTCAAATAAAACATATTGAAGAAATTGACAAAGTCAGATTTCGACGAAGTTTAGGTGATATGTTACGTCAAATAAAAAATGAATCAAAAAAGAAACCTGGAAAACAATAGTCAAAGGAACAAACAAATGAATATTCTGATAATGATCAATCAATCTACATCGAAGTCGTAGCAGTAGTAATAGTGATTTTTAATATGTTTATTACCTTTGTTTGTTTTTTTCTACTTGTAATAATTTTTTTTAATCAAACACATGGGAAAAGTGCGTTGTTTTGTTATTCTGGACTTATTTTTGGCAATAGAATAACTTAAAAAACCGGTGGTTTTTTATGCATACAACTTTCTTTTTTTATTTGATTTCAAACAGGCAAAAGATTTGCTGAAACGTTTTTCCGTCCATACAATTAGTTCTAAATGGGTTTCTTCTACTTTTTGTTGGACAAATATTTTGAAATCTGTTCAGGATGGATATATGATAATCCTGTCCTAGATAGGACACCCATTTCAAGCATTTGTCGAACGGAATTCAATGTTTGGATAGAATCCGATAAATGCTTTTGATTTTATATTAGCTAGATTTGAAGTTAGTACTATACTTGTACGCACTTTCTTTCAGGATCTTACGTACGAACATAAAGGTTACTCAGCAGAACTTCTCTCACTTTGACAGTTACACATTAAAAATTTCAAGTTACTTAATAAACTTTTGCTCTTTCTAGCCCATTGTGTATCAAAAATTCTGATTGTTAGAATTCTGTTTTTACTTTTAATTATTTTCACTTATTATAATAACGGGTGGGCCTGATAAAACCGGCCACTTTTGTTCTTGTTTATTAATCCCCTTCT